TCAAAAGTTTGTTGGTCTGTTTGTAGAGTTGTTTCAAATTAGTGAACTGTCAAAGAAGAAACTGAAAAAAGACAGAAAGTAACAGTCATAAATGATATATTTTAAAAGCCTACAAGTAATATCAGAAAAAAAAGTACTAGTAACTGAACTAAATATGGTCTTTGGAACCTAAGTATCTTAGAGCCCATTTAGAACCACAGACTTACAGACCCACAGATCAAATATGGCAGCCCACTTAAAACCTTGCCACTTAATTCCCGGTTTGATATTGAAAAGATTTCCCGCAGGATTATGCAACAACTGCTCAAGTGGATCAGTCATATTTGATCCGTGGATCTGTTATTCCTCTGTTCTGAATGAACTTTAAATTGTATAATTTTTTTTTTTTTTTTTTACTCATCACTGCAAATTGATATGTTCAATTTATGAATTATTATACAAATGATCTACAGCTGTTGATGTGATATTTTGCTGTATATCATGTACTTGGTACTCCTTCAGCTCTTCATCATTTCAGACATGTCAATTTTATGCCCCTTTTAATGAGCTACTCAGTTCCCTGTCAAAACTTAGATAGGGTTAATTGGCTTGACATTGGCTTTGACACTATGTACAACTTATCTGATCCAGTACATACCAAGAGTTTACAATGATCAGAATCTGGCCAACTTCTGCATGTGTACCTGGTGCCTATTGCACAAGTCCAATATTAAACCACTATTGCTAGTAACCATGTCCCAATCTTTGTTCTTTAAAACTATCCACCAAAAAACCCATTTTTCAATTGGTTCCTATGATTCCTTAACACAAACTAGTTTGATCTTGGATCAGACAAGGTAAGGTCATAGGAATAAGCGTAAATGCCCCTTTGATATCCCCGTTTTCAGGAGTCATTGGTTTGGGTGAATGCTGCCCCCCCCCCTTCATTAAAATATTTGGTGGAGTTAAGAACAATGGACACGTGGTTATAATGATCTGATTGTCTGACCAACAACATATCTATGGGGATACCTGCATACATGGACTCTAATTTTACTAAAGTGAAAAATCTGATTAGGTTGTAAACAAACATGAATTCATAATGATCTGTTTTATTTGACTTTTATTGTATGGTACACTCATATATATTGTCATTTATTTATTTATTTATTTATTTATTTCATTGAACGTAAAATGTCTATTACAATTATATTTTATAGTGTTCTAGTGATCTTCAATATTCTTTTAATATTTCTTCCTTAATGTTCAGAAAGGAAGAAAGAAATTATTGTAACATTATATTGACATTGTGGTAAGAAAAGTTTCAGAGTGAAAAAATTTAGGCAATTATTATGATTCTTTTAATCTACTAATACTTTACATTTGGTTGTTATTCTGAGAGAAGTAGATCAGCATTTATTTGTTTGACATCAGGTTGCCTTCCCAGCTTGATGATTTGTTAATGGTAGCTGCAACTTGAAAAAGAAAGGACTTAGCTGTTTTCTTTTTTTGAGAATTTGATTTGAATTTCAAAATTGTTTTTAGTCCTCTTTTGTTCTGCACTATAACATAAAGTGGTAGCAGTAATAAAACCATATTTTAAATTTAAAAAAACACCCGTTAAAGTAAGGTGAAATTATACCAAGAGTACTGCCCACTGAAAACAAAAGCACAATCATTTAACATTCCTAATGAGATTATTTTCCAGATAATTTGATAAAAACAGCATAACTTTTTGGACTTTTAAATAGCCAGCTGAAAAAAAATGTTAGTTATTAGATTTGGTACACTGTTTTGAATTTCCACTAATAATTATTTTCTCGACTGAAAATGGTTTTCATGTAGGTCCAATGTTACAGCTGCACAAATTACTGTCTATTACAGGTCAAACCAATTTGGCTGGAAAAAAAGCACTATTTGTAGACATTAAGTCTTCCTGGCAGTGAGTTTTATGGTCTAGTTGGTTTCCCCTCCACACAAACATTGCTCTGACTGTTGAATTGCTACATGTCTGTGGAACATCTCTTAAAGTTCAGCATTTACGTCATGTGTTCATCTGCTAGATGGCCGACACCTCTGTTTTCATTAGCGGGATAAATGAGGTAGAAGTGTAGCAGGCAGCCCCAGCTCATCACAAGGTAGCTGAATTCAGAAGTATCATGAAAAATCTGGTCAACATTTCTGTATTTCTATCATGGATACACTTTTGCCAAATTTTCTTTTATTTAGTTGTACCCTGTTAACTTTCATTTAGTGGAAAACTGACACTTATACTGTGAGATACAATTACGGAGATTTCCATGTGTTTAATTTAGCAATTAGGCTTGTGGTATTAACCTGTATTTCTTATCTACTTTCTAGAATTATCCAATCAGTGATTACTCTGCTTACCCCTGAGCATCATTCTCTGTTTAATGCCTTGGAAACCCTTATCTTCACTCTCTTTCCCTTTTTCTTCAGCATTTGTGATTACATAAGAAATTATATGTATTTTTATGTTTCTGTGCATATTGCTTTCACCTGTGTCTGTCGTCGTCAGCGTGCACTTTCATTGTTATATAAATAATATAAAAACGGTTTTACCTTTTGTCTTAAAACTTATAGAACTGATGACTATTCATAAAATACAGGTCAAGTTCAAAAATCAGCCTGATCGGACCATTTTTTACAAAAATTATGCTGTTTTTTTTTTTTTAGCATACATGTATTTTATGCATCGTTATACAAATAAAATGAAAACTGTTTTACCTTTTGTCTTCAAACTTACAGGGCTGATGAATATTGATGAAATACAAGTCAAGTTCGACAGTCAGCCTGATCAGACCATTTTTACCAAAGTTCTGCTGTTTTTTGCTCTTTCAGCATATTTTAACCAACGTTATGCAAATAACATGCAAACCATTTTACCTTTTGTATTCAAACTTTTTGGATGAGTATGTTTGTTTTTGTTTGTATTCCTTTGATGATTTGAGATTGAGTTGACATAACAAAGTCATCCATTTACTCAATATTATTATTCTTTATAAATTTTCCCTTTGTTACTTTGCTTTTTTCTTTGATCATTAAAGAAAATGCTTTTATGCAGGCACTTGAACAACCAGTTATCCAGACAGTGGTGCCACGCTCCTACTGCCCATCCTAATATGTTCTTTTGATTCCATAATGGAAAGAACATCTTTCTTTATCAACTCTATCTTTTTGTATACATGCTCTTTTTTTCTTAGATGGGTTCTGAATTTAATGGTGCTCAAAAACAAAAATAAGTTTTTCAGCAATTTATAAGCTCTTAATGTGTTTTGGGAATAAACAAAGTTTGCATTATGCATTGCTTTTTTTCTCAGCTTCCTGTCTTCTTTTCCCCCTTTTCACTCACATACAAGGAGAAATGAACAAACTATGGTTGCATCACAAGTATGTTGTTTCAGTGAAGTTTAACTCAAACTGGGTATCTTTTACACTTTCGGCTTTGAGTAGGTTTGTAGTATGATTTTAACAAAAACAGCCAGAGGGCAGCTCGCTGTTGGTTGCTGTTGACTTTTCTTTTACTCCACAATCTCCATCAGAGCTTATTTCTCTCTGCTTGGGTTATGTACTTACTATTTACTACTATTTTATTGTCTTTATAGAAACTAGCGTGGTTGTGACCCTAAGTGGTTTATTTGCCTCTGGGCAGAAAAGCATAACGTAGCTAGTATTAAATGCAATATCATCATGATTTAGAGGATACAGTGTGTGTAATGGGAAAGTAGATGAAATGTGTCCATCTGAATTTTAAAACTGTTGCACAGCTGCTCTAACAGCAGTAGTGGTGATTCAGAATGTCGAAGACATGTTTTTTCCAGACACTAGGCTTTTTTTCTACATTTTTTAAAAGTATAATGTTGCAGGGGAAATTTTAAGCTTAGTTAGGAAACCAGGTATACACAAATTTGGACAATAGCATCCTCAATTAGCAATGACTGTGAGGTGATTATCAGTTCCTGAAATCAAGAACTAACACAGACAGTTTGGCATTTCATAAGGTTTTTTATGTATGATTATTTTCCCAGCCAGTTGTAGAGAATCACAATTTTAATCCAGTAAGATATGCCCAAATGCCTGACAGGAGTAATGCCTCACAGTCAAACAAATGAGGCTGAACTTTGAATGGAGTGCCAATCTTCTCTGTGATGTCTTTTTGATGTGCTGCTTCTGTAGGACTCTGCCAGCAGGTAGCAGCAGAAATGTTTGCCAACTATTTCAAATATTGGTATTATCATACCCTCTTTAGCATGATTTGCCTCAGCTTGCCTTTTTTTAATGATCAAAGTGTACATTTTAGACTCATCTCGCAACCCCTTCCTCACAGAGAACAAATGGGAATTGTCATGCTCTTTTTAACATGCACCATTTATTATAGGTAGTTAAAGAACTGTGTGAAAATATACTGAACCTGTTTAGAAACTTATTGTGTTTGCTTGGGCTGGTAAGTATTTTCACAGAATCATGCTTCACTCTTGTTGGAGATGGTGGATGGGATTTTGCTGAAAGACATTATTTTCGCTTTTTTTTTCATATATGATTTAATCAATCAACAGTCAGGTTTAGGGCATAGACTGTGTGTAGTAGAGGGCAGAATCAAGTCTGCTGACTCCCAGGCTTGTTTGATATTGTGCTGGATAATCATCAAGCAAAGAAATTTCTGAGTCTAATAAGCCTCAAGAGCTTTGAATCTCTGTCTGTAAGGCTGAGTGTTCTTGGAAGATATATCACACCTGTGCAGTGTTATGGAATGCATCATAACCATGCAAGCCATTATATGATCAAAGCTGAAGTAAAGAACAGTATTACTATAATTAGTATAACATATCTGGGCAATTGCTCCATTTTCTGTACCGTAAAATGGCATTTTAACAAGATTATATCCTGTGTAGCTCATTCTGAAATTACATTTTGCCAGAAATTGTCTTGGAATCTCCAGCTTATGTTCTTAAGTAATTGCAACAAAAGAAAATCATTGTGTATTATATTTTTTGTTTCAGGAGGAACAATGGCCAATGAAGAAGTCCCATGGTACGGGGGCATCCATGCAGTGTACCACAGACATTGAGGATATGCCTCTGCATAACTTGTGATGGGACATTTAACCGAAGGTTATCCAAAAACTAAATTCCAAGGAAAATGTCAGTGGTGAAATAACATTGCCCTTACTCCCACAAATTGTGCAGAGGTTAGTGTGGAAGATTTCAGTTTTGGAGGCCTCAGGAAAGTTTTGAATGAGGGGTTAGCTGCATGTAGTTTGGCCCAACCGAGTTTCAGACACTGCCAGCCAACACAAACACACCATGGAGAGCAGTCCACAGAGACCAAGTATAGAAACCAGCACACATGATCACAGTTCTGCCTCCATTGGAGCCAATACCAAGGTGCAAGAACAGGAAAGTCTTGTCAGTGGTATTGAACAGAAAAACATGGAGGTGCAGTGTTTCTCTGACAGCCATGCCAGCAGCAGCAGCAGCAGCAGCAGCAGTAGTAGACCACATCTACGCAAACAGCGGCCAGTGGAACAACCTGCTCTGTTATTTGAGGATGAAGATGAGGAGATACCAGCAGTGCCATCTGCTGATCCTTGTATTGTTCCTGCACTTTCGGATCAAAGCAGTATTGATGCTGATAAAGATGCAGCAGAAGCATATTTAGATCCAAATGTGGTGAATTTTTTTCTGAGGCCTGAATCTTCATCAAGTGGTTTAAGTCAACAGAATGAAGGTAAAAGAAGGCCTGTCAGTTCCAGCACCAGTGAAGAAATGAATGAGACAAGTGAAAGTTGGCTGATGACAACCAAAGGCAGTTTGGAACTAAAACAAACTTGGGTGCCTAGTAGTCCGCGGCCCTCACTAAAACATGGGCAAATGCTGCGTTCGCCTAGCGCCAGTCCCTCCAGGCAGAGTGTAGGTCTGGACCACTTAGATAACTTGTGTCGTCTGATGGAACAATTGGCTGGATTAAAGGAAGAAAACAACAATCTTCGTAAGAAGTGCTCATATCTTGAAGATACTAAAATATTACTTCAAGCTCAGAATGAAATGCTGGCCAATAGTGCTTCTGATGCAGTCTCTCATGTTTCTCGTCAGAACAAAGTTGACAGAAAAGAGAGCGCTCGCTCTCGAAAAAGACTTCCTAGTGCAGATTTTGGAGTTGAGGAAGCCATCAGACATTCGGATCTTCAACTTGTAAAAAGAAGAACTCAGTCAACTGGTTCACTAGACATCACTGACAATGATGTTTTTCTGCCCGGTGAAGAAAGTGCCAATAAAAAACAAAAACTCATCAAACAGTCCTCAGACGTCCCCTTGTCAAAGCATGAAAAATCAAAATCTTCCCAGGACCCAAGATTCAAGAGCAAAAAAATCACCAAGTGGGAGAGGGTGAAGATGGTGTTTACGGGGAAAGAACCAGTTAATAAACTCCAGGTTCCAAATGAGTCCTCGGCAGACATGAGGTCTGATGACAGCGGGATGGGAGAGGAGGGGAGCCATCAGAAACTGGATACCTGCAGTGAGCCTACAACTCCCATGGTCATTGAGAGGGCAACATCACATGTTGATAATGATGAAGATCCAGAGATGGCACAAGTTGTCTGGATGAGGGACCCTGGTAGGTTTATACTGGTATCAGGGTACCCATACTTTCTAATTTCTCTATATTTAATTACATTAGTGGCCTTTTTTATAATTGTAGATAATCCTGGTTCCAAATTCAGCAGCACTGTGGTCAGATGCTGTGGGTTTTAAAAGATTTTCAGCAATCAAAAGTTACATTATTTTTCTTTTTCAAGCATAAAGTTGAATTAATTTAATCATTGGTAAAAAAAATCAGCTTCAGCCTTGTCTTATCCAAAAATGGACATACCGGTTATATAACTGTAAATGTTATGTATAATTATTGCATTGAATTCATTAATCTGAGCATCAAAATGTTGGGGCAAATTACTTGAAAAAAGTATTTTCATCAATGGCATATTTTACATGCCTCCCTGTGATTGTTGTGGAAGGAAGCTTTGGCAGACAGTTGAGATAAAACACTTTATCAATGTTTGTTATGACATTCTTAAAGCCTTAGTTGATATCATATTTTAGAATAACTCCTCAAATGCCAACCTTTCTTCATTGTTTTGCTTTCTCCCATAAGGAAAAGTTCAGAAACACTATGAGATAATTTATATTATACAATTCCATTAATACTTTACCAATCTTATTGTTATTTTGCATTTTTGTCCAGTGATAAATAAGTCATTGTTGTTTCATTCCAGCCCAGTTGACAGTTTTATTTGCATGTTAATGATTTCTCCTGGTGAAGTGAGAGTCCATATTTTTACAAGAGATAAAAGTGGAATTTCTTTTTAATTTTAATTAAATTGATCGATCTACTTTTTTCTGAATCATGATGCTTTTTTTACCATTTGTATGCAACATGTGCATGCTTTTAAGCACCACTGAAAATAATCCAATTTAGAAAGCCAGAGCAAATGATGTTGTGGCCTATGTTTTCAAACTCATTAAAGATTTATTTTGGAGAGCAGCAGATCTTGGGTCATTGAAAGAAAACACTTCACAGCTAGTGTTCACTGAATATATCTGCCTAACAAAATTACGTATCACCAAGAATGTGGCAATATATTTTTAATATTACTGAAGGCAATAAGACCTGGCGTCTAGAGCATTTGATTTCAATATAGGTAGAAGAAAAAAAGGGTGGAAGTAGCTTAAATTTGATTCAATTTTTGTGAAAGATGTAAACATACACACCTCGTAGATAAGGAGTTCATGATGTATTGCCTCCCAGGTACATCCTTCTCTCCAAGCTTTGTTCTCATGTCACAGTCTGCTGATTTGATGTTTAAAAATATATCACATTAAATTTTGTTGCACAGTACAGTCATTGTATGGTTTGATTTTTAAACCTGTCTTAGAAGCAGGTATTTTGCAGTCATTGTACATAAATTTGATGTTTTCCAGGTTGGGAAGAGCAGGGGACTGTTCTCCACCCTGGTGCTTCTGACGATGCCTGCCTGGACAGCCTGATGAAGTCTGCTCCGTCCACCACAGTGGCTGACCAAGTGTCCACTTACCTGGACATCGACACCATCAGTCTCAAGTCCAGTCCAGTCATGTCGCGCAGGCATACATCTGGGTCATCCAAGCACAGTCAGGTGTCTCTGCGCAGCACCTCCCCACACAGACATAAAGGAGAAGAGATGGAGCACCTGTCTCGTCACCCTGGAGGTGGGATACATCATGCTAAGACTGCCTGGGGTCGGGTCAAAGATATCATACATACTAGAAAGGACAGCATCAGGCGTAGGGGGCATAAAATAACTGACCATGGGAAAGGGACAGAGTACTACTCTGATGGCGACTATGTAGAGTACTATGATGAAGGAAGTCCTGTGCCTAAACAGAAGTTCAGCAGACGATTGGATACATCTGTAAGGTCACATGACAGTTCGTCTCTACGGAGTCCCAGAGGGTCACCACATACACTGAGAAAGCAGGGATCTTCTGGAGGTATGCCCTGTGCGATTGTTTGGGAAAGTTTTATTATTTGCTTGGTAACAAATTAAAGACAAAATATCGAAAAGCTTGAGATTCCTGGAAAGACTTCATTTTGACTTTTAAAAACATTTTTTGTCATTATTTTGCTAGTGTATTAATGATGTGGGAAAGGTATAAAAAATATAATAAGATATTATAGAAAAAATGACTCAAACAATTCTGTTAAGACTGACTGGCTAATGTTAGAAGCAATTCTAATGATACAGAAAACATAGATGAAGATCATATATAAAGATCTAGCTCGCTGCAAATTCTCTCTCTCTCTCTCTTTCTCTTTCTCTCTCTCTCTCTCTCGTGCGCGCATGCGCGTGCACACACACACACACACACACACACACACACACACACACACACACACATATTACTGTAGCTCTTGCACCAACACATGGCTCCTTTCAGGCTGTAATTTGCCCGGAGATTCAATACCTTTCCATGAGCAACTAAGATCTAGCAACTAAAAAAGATGAGGTTAACATACACTGTCAATAGCTACCTGAATTGGCCTTTAAAAGAGCATTGACTTTGAGTTAACCTATCTAATCTCCCTAGTTTACTGCTCCATGTGTTCCCTGCAGAGTTAGCCTTAATTATGCCACTCTCTCTCTCACTGGCAGCAGGAGTGTTCATTTCTACAGAAGACAGACTTTCTTTAGATCTTATGCATACCCTGAGGTACAGAGATTATTTGAAACTTTTCTTTGTTGTCAGCATGCATTTGCCATCACTGGAAATAACACAGGTGTGGTGATCTTGGAGATATAGTTACCAGTAAACTTTGATACTCAGAATATTCGTATATAACAACCAGAATTAAACTGCAACTTCCACCTGTGTGAAAAATGCATACCTTAAATTTAACTTATTATTAGAAAAGAGAGCAAACTGTCTGTAATATCAGCAATGCCTCACTTTCAAACAAATTACTATTTTCTAAAAGAATGTATGAAGAACAAAATTGCAACTTCTACTTGTATGTTAAAATTGAATACTCTAAATTTCACTAATTATTAAAAAAAAGAAAACTGTGTTATATCAGCAATGCCTCACTTTCAAACAAATTGCTATTTTTTAAAGAATCCTTGGAGAATAAAAAGAGGAAGATGTAAAAAGGTGACATGTTTGAAGTGAAGATATATATGTCCCTCTAATTGTAATTATATTATCCGTCCCATTACCCAAATGCCAACTAATTTGATTGTTATGATTCCTCCCAGGAGTTGAGGTAAACAAGAAGCACCCAGATGATGATAAGATTAAGAGGCAAGGTAAGAACTATATAAGGAACACAGATACTGTTACAAATCTTATTTCCACCTTGCAGAATTTGAAAGTCAAATTAATTAACCTCTTTGTGGGTCATTGTACATTTACCTTTGGTAGGGATAAAGAATATGTCAAAAGTGCAAAAAAGGTCAAAACATTATTTTCACAATATATTGATACTTACAGCACTGCCAACAGCAACCATGTGATAAATACCTGTTGTAACACTGAGTAACTGTCACCAACAGCATGGTGGCTATTGATATTAATCGTGTACATGTGGAATTTGTTTCTTTTCAGACACAGCCATGGAACTCCAGCAAAACTTATCTGAAGACTTTTTCAAGAAAATGGAGGAATGGGAAAGGAAGAAAGCAAAAAGTAAGGTTTTCCATAAAGGTGGTTTAAAATTGTGGCATCTGTTGGAAAATGCACAAAAACAAGTTTTAGACCTTTGACTGTAATCTTTTTTGGGTAGAAAGCAGCAACCTCTAAATGGATGCTACATTCATTTTCATTAATGAAATTACTGCTCCCTACCTAGAAGTTGCAGCTCACATTAAGTAAAATAAAGAAATGTGGGAACCTGTTCACTTGACATTAACAACCTAGTGAGAGAAAAGTCTTCAGACATTCATTCCTAGGGTATTTTTGTGTTTGAAATTTGGGGTGGATGAGTTCTTTTTTTTTCTTTTTTTTTATTTTGAGTTAATCATTTATTTTGTTAATGTATTATACATTGACTCTCATTTCACCCTGTGCTTTTTTAGTATTGAATGCAAAAAGCATGTGTGATGAGATACACTTGCAGCCGATAAGATAGGGATTATATTTATAAGAGACCATTCCCAGACCCTATCATACTAACTGTGGATCAATCTATCTCCAAGGGGATCCTTGCTGAATTGCAATCAACATAAGCAGCTTAGATGATTGCTAGGGGTAATTAATTATTGTTTAGCAGCTTCAGTAGGCATGCCAGACATCTAAGCCGCTTAAACTGAAAGCAATTTAGTGAGAAACCCTTTGGAAATGGATCAATCAAGGTATGGGACCCAATCTAAGATGAGGAAAGGAAAAGAAAAGAAAAAGTCATTCTAAAGGAGATAGAAAGGTTAATAAGTAATATTTTCAAGACTGAATTAAAAATTAACTTTTTAAAAAAGATGACATTTTTTTAAAAATGCTTGACACTAGTTTGTCTCCTCCAGGTCCCTCCCCAGCCAAGCAGGTCAGTGGCAGTGTCCCCTCGCCTCCACCATCCACCACTTCGGCCACTGTGGACACAGTGGACATACAGCAGCAACAGCAACCCAGCCTAGAGTTTCTGCAAAAGAACCTCAGCGAGAGCTTTAACAAAAAGATGGAGGAGTGGGATAGACTGAGACTTCAGAAAGGTGGGCGGGATCCTAGCCCTGCCCCAGGGGCAATGGAAAGGAAAAGCCGTAAGGATGACAAGGGGAAAAGCAAGAAATTTAAACCAAAATCTGATGAGAAAAAGAAACGGAAGCAGAGCAAAGAGAGACCCAAGTCCAGAAATGGGAAAAGTCCAGATCAGAGGGGCTCAGTTCTTATAGAATCTGCAAATGGAGAGTATCTAGTTACGGAAGATTTTGCAAAGAAATTGCAAGAATGGGAAGAGATTAAGCTGAAGAGGGAAAGGTCAGCTTCAGAGCTGGGTAGCTCTCCACCCAACACAACAGCTAGGGACAGGAGCAAATCTGAGGTGATGTTTGGGGAGATGTCTGGGCCTCACTCCCTCAGCCCTACCAGTTCCCCAGGCCCCAAGTCTCCAAATGAGAAGACTAAAGATACTGACAATGTGGACTTCTTTTGTAACACACCTGACGAGTTTGCTAGGTATGATGTTTAAAGTAAGATTTTGATTGATTGGTTGATTTCATTTTGATGGTATCAGCATAATCTAAACACATGCTTCTCTCTTCCATTAGTTACTTTTATGCTATAAATCAGTTATTAAAAGTCATGCATTCCCATTTTAGCCTTGAAAATACCAACAAAAAACTTGCTAGTGAACTTGCACAAAAGGAGGCTGCCTGCAGGAACTTGGAAATGGAACTTGATCAGTTGAAGAATAAAATACAAGAGATTAGCCAAGATCATCATCACACTATTGGTATGAACATACAAGTTATTTTTTCTTGCTAATTTGTCCTATGTACTTTCTGTGGCATTTAGAGATTTTATTGGTACTCTTGATTTTTATTAAACATTATTTGCCAGTTTAGTCTTACTTAAATTATGTTTTTAATTTTTAAGGTAAGCTTGCTTGATTAGACTTCTCTTAATGAAGCAATTTATTTTTCACGGTACTTTTTTTTTCATACTGTGTACATATTTTCTTTGCTTTTTTATTCACCTTACTGAGGCATTGTAAGTATATCCTGTATCTTGATATATTAACTGGCAATCAAACATGTTTTACTTTTAGTCTGTGTACCTATTTTATTACCATTATTTGTTGGTGCATATAAGATATACTTGGTTGTTGTTTAAGATTGTGTTATATTTAAACAGTGTTATATTTAATTTTTGTCTCATGAGTCATTTATTTATTTATTTATTTATTTATTTATTTATTTATTTATTTATGTTTTGATTGAATCAGATATGATATGCCTCTAAGGACATTTGGCTTCTCTCAGTTTCTTTTTGTTTTCATTCCAACATAACTTATTTTTTATTGTCTATACCATACACTGCTAAGACATACCAAGTGCTAGAATAAAGACTAACACATTCAGCATAACATAAGTTTATCAAAATCTAATTTTCAGAGAAGTACCGCCATGAGCTGTGGGCTGGCAGTACATTTGGTCACTTCACCCAGGAGAAGGCTGAGCTGGAGAGGGTGATGTCACAGCTGAGACTCAGGCTTCAGGATCTGGAACACAATCAGGAACAGTTGGTCTTGGAGAAGAGTAATCTTGAGGTGAGAAATGAATGTGTCCCTGTGTACATGTGTTATTCACATGCTCGTGAGGGCACAAATCTCCCATGATACTTTTATCGAGGCATGCAGATTTGTAATTTTAGTAACATAATCCATTAAGATAAATCAGATAAAACGGTTACAGAATAATATTGCACAGAAGTATTTTAGTGAAAAAAATACCAATGGTAGTGAAGAGAATGAAAATTGCTCAATTGTTAATCACATTTGGACTTTTCTTCTAGGAAAAAACAATCAAGCAAATGGAGCAGCATAATCAAGCTGAGGCCAAACTTTTAGAAGAACTGAAAAGGTTACGGTCCCATCAGTTGGCTCAAGGTCAAAATGGACGCTTTCATGTTGATGACAAAATGAAACAAGACATTGACAAGTTTTGTGCACACATTTTAAGATTATATTGTAAGGTATGTTATAGTTTTCAGTCACATTTTGATTATATTTTATGTTGTTATTATTATTATTCTCTGATATTTTGATGAATGAAAAAGAAACTAATCAGATTTTACCTAATCAGATTTTACTTATCATATGGAATTTTGTGCAGAAAGTTACTAATTTCTAGAAGTTTTTTATTAACAAGTGAAAACATCACCCTTTATTGTGACATCCTAGAGAAATTTTTCTTATGAATATCTGATAACACTTATTAATAGATGTGTAAAGACAGAGATTTCTTTCCTTGTAACCAGATGAATGACATGAAGTTGGGGATAATGGAGAGGAACAAACTGGTGAAGGAGATGAAGAGACAGATGGTCCTGCAGGAAGTGACCAATCTACTTCTGGAGGCCGACAGCAACCGGCGAGGACTAGAGCTGAATTTTGTGAAGGATGCTCAGAGATCTGGCCACATAAAGCGCTGGAAGACATTTCATGGCACAGAGGTTTGCCAAAGACAGGTACAGATGCAGTTCATCTCTTTCCTGTGTTCAGTCTTTTAAATTGAAAAGGTTACTCTTGGTGATAAGTGATAAGAGATTTCTTTTCATACGGGAACTGCATTTTTAAAAATTTAGTGTTAACTAGTAGAACTTTACAGACCCTCTCTCCAACAAGGTAGCAACTTTTGCCAAGGACAAAGGAAATTTTTTTAATATTTTCAAAACATAAGGAAAACTGAATTCCAGTGAAATTTTAATAATGTTTTTCCTCAAAAAATGTGAAGAACTGAGATATCTTGTCCACTAAAAAAGGCAATGCCAATGAAAACAGGGGCTTCTTCATTGGCAGAGGTAACCAAATAAGCCATATTGATGTTAAGATGAGATGTCTGACATGACAAAATGATGAATATGTAAAACAGCTTTGTAAGATTTTCAGTGTACCCACACATGCATCATGTAACTTTACGTACAATATCAAACTTTCCAGGTGCCCCCAGGAAACCACAGTGTTGACTATCACCTGACCAAGAAGTGTATCCATGCAGGACGGTTACACAGAGACATCGATAAGATACTGACTCAGTTTCAGCATGGACAGAGCGTGGACACAGCTGACCACTGTATGGAGTGGCTGGAGGCTCTTAAAGAAGCGGGTGGGTCATAAAATTTAGCCAGTGTCCAGTTTAATAAGGACAGAACATGGCTACTTCTAATAATTCCATGGATTAAAAATGCTCCACTTAATGTTGCCATCAACCTTTTAGTACTCCATAATAGAATGGTTAGAAAAAAGCAATGAAGTAATCCCAATTTCTGTAACCAAACTTGTCTCTGGGATTTGGCATTTTTTGTTTTTGCTAGTTTTTGTGAGTTAAGTCTTGTAATAATGCAAACATAAAACTTAATATTGTAAACTGTGTCAGCTCACTCTGTGGAAAGTCAATATGAATGCCCTCATATTGGAAAAACTTCTCATCTGAAAAAATTGACTGATCAGAAAATTCATTTTTTAGGCAAAGTGAAACTAGAAACTGCCATGGCTTCTAAAGAGACCTCTTCTACTCAGACGGACCCGCTGAAGTTGGAGGATGTTGTGGTACGTCCAAAATCTTTCCATCCAGAAATCACAAAAGTTGTTAAAACAGCAGAACTTGAAGGAAGCAGAATAGATAGTTCCTTTGCTGCAACAAAGACTAGTAAGGTTCACCAACAGTTCATGAGCTTCCATAAAAGAGATAACACCAAGTGTACTGAGACTAGCCCTGTCTCTGAAAGTTCAACATCTTCTGTCAAGATGGAACATGCTTCACCAAAACCTGAAGCCATTGCTATGTCTGCATCATCTTCAAAGACTGGATCAGCCCAAGGAGCAGCAGTTGCCAAAGACTGGGCTGTTCAGTATAAAACTAGAGCCTTTGAGGCCAAAGACACTTTCACAACCAAAACAATTGCTTCTCAAAAACAGTATCTGGAGGTGCCAAAACAGCGGGATAGATCTAGAAGTCCTGACCCTAATACAAAGAGGGAACCAACAGCAGTGGCTCCAACAACAACTGAACCAATTGCATCGAAACAGGAAGGGAAACATGCAAAATTTAGCATTGAAAAGCTTTCTGACATTAAACTGGCAAAATTTGGCCAAGATGCAGGTTCACCAAAGACATCAGTTACAAAAGTTCAAAAGGTTCCTGAAAAGGAAACCAGATCATCTGTCAGTTCCACCAAGGATTTACTTGATGATACAAGTGTTAGACCAAGAGCTTCCAGCTATGAAAGAAAGTCTACTGGCTCAGATAAAGTAGGTTTTGTTCAGTACAGAAAGATGCAGTTTGCAGATGGCAGTGATGCTGACTCTTCCTCTGGAAGTTTGATTGACAAAGGGAGCAAGGAAAGCTCACCAAGACCTGACGATACTGACAAAAAACTGGGCGAATGTTCTATGGAATTCAAAAAATGGATGGAAGATGATGGGAAAATTGTGGACATATCTCCTCAGAGTAGAGAGAAGAAAGATTTTGAGTCAGTCAAAAGCAAAAAGGTTGAAATGGGATTATCAACAAATCTTGGTTTAGATTATAACAAAAAGCAGCTGAGACAAAGACGTGCTGGTCAGGATGGAAAACCAAGCAAGGAATTGTCTGTCTCCATCCCTGCCAATACCACATCATCTAACAAAGTTTTTAATGCTGCTGAAGGTAAAGATCTGTTTGCAAGACAAGATGGCCATGCAGGGACTACAGGGTCATCAGATAGCACCAAATCAAAAAATGAAGCAAAACCTCCCAGTCCCATACAGAAACCTTTAATAGAGCATGTGTCACCGGTCATGTCCCCAGTGAGGAAACTGAAGTCAGCAACTGAACTCATGCATGACAGTCAGAGCAGACGACATGCAGCCAGGCTGGCCAAGAGAGAGAGTATGGAGAAGAAAATTGAGAAGGAGGAGAAAACACCGACAACTCCCCCTGCAGGAGAAAGTCCAAGAGTCCAAGCTGACAGGAAATCCAGCAGGGTGTTATCCATTGTTAAATCTTGGTCAAGGGAGAATACCCCAGAACCTAACCTGAAATCCCCTGTATGGCCATCCCCTGTCAGAGGAGAGCCTGCACTCAGTATAACCAGGACATCTTCACCAGCATCCGTGGACTTCAATGTCCGCATGCGACGGCCATCTTCTTCCTCTGTCACCAGTGAAGGGGACTTGACAAGGTTCAGAGCTGGACTCAGAGACTTGATGCTCTCCCCCACTGAGGGCAAGGTACAAAAACTAAAGGAGGCTTTTGTATCAGAGAATTCAGCCAAACCATCCACGGAAAAACTGTCTCCAGTGGGGAACACCAAGGCCAGCCCACTACGGAGGAAATCATATGAGGCTCCAAAACACGGGACAGTATTAAAACACAGCTCATTGTTTCAAGGCAGGATTGATTCTTTTGATTCTGAGAGTCCCCCCAGTGCTGGCAGCTCTCGCCATGGCTCACAGACAAACTTGGACAATCCTGCTCCAAAGGTCACCTCAAAGTCTCCACTCACTGAAAGAGAACGTAACCCCAGACAAACTCAAAAGAAAACAGAAGCCGAGAAAGATGCCAGAGTAACAGAAAAAGAAAATGTAAGTGTCATGAAACAAACTGATATGTCCAAAGCCAACAATGAGGGCACAAAAGAAACTGTGAGAAAAGTTTCTCCAAGGAATTTAGAACCTCGCCAGAGAGCATATGGGCGTGCTCGCACTGCTCCAGTGCCAAGTTTAAGTTCTCAATACACAAGCATGGGAACCACTTACCTAAAGAAGAAAGATGTCAATGACAACACTGATGACAAGGAAAATGTTGCTGATAATGACAGCAAGGAGTGCCAAGGGGAGCAAAATCAAGGGGAGACAACTGTTAGCGCTGACCTAAAAGGGGACACCCCCACCCAACTTATGGGGAGTAGAAGGAGGGTGCTGAAACCTGATACAGTCACCCAGGGCACAAAGGCTGTGACCCCAACAAAAGACATACCAGTTACTGATCAGCCAGATAAAGTCAAAATGATGGATACTAAAACAACTGTTTCAGTTATGGAGAAGACTAACATGGGACAGTTGAGGACAAGGCAGAGGAGGACAATGGAAATCTCAACCTCTGTTACTCCACCTGTAACAACCAGTCCTAAGTCTTCCATTTCTTCAACAGCAGTTACTGCTTCTCCAACACAGGCCCCTACACCAGTGAAATCCTCGACACCTTCATCTGTTCCTTCTCCAGAGGCTAAGTCTGAGGAGCAGGTGCCCACAGCCTCCAGCAGGAGTCAAGAGGAAGACAAGAAAAAAAGCAAAACAAAACAGTTCATGGATAGTCACTGGCTACAGAAACCAAAGAGGTTTTTCAAAATATCAAAGTGAGTCAGTTCTCTCTTTTTTCTCTTCCTGCCTTTTTTGTCCGTCAACTTGTTTATTTTATCCATTCTTTTCACCGATCCACCCACCGTCTGTACTTCCCCACTGTTGTATTAGTATTACCCTACATCCTAAATAGTCATCTTAACTTTCTTACATACTTATCTTTAATATTTATACGTACCTGTCCTATTTAGCAACTGTCCAACATGTACCACTAATGCATACCTACCTGTCATTTGTACCTACAAGTCCATCATACTTGCAGAGCCTACATGAAGCACCTGTCATACAGTACATACATTTCCTGATTCTTGATTTTATTGTTTTTACTGTTAGTATAACTGTGTGTTTGTGTGTGTGTAAGTGTGTGTTTTTGTGTAGGTAGGTTTGCATGCAAATGTGTTTGTAGTACTAAGTTATACAGCATATTTATTTACTGAAGCGATTTTGTCGAATCATTTTGGCTGCAATAATGATATTTTTCAGAGTTGAATTTTTAGAGAGGGAAAGCTATTGCTGAGGTTAGTCCCAGTCTTCAAGAAATCTATTCTTCTGATGTGTCTGTTAGCTCTGTCACAAGGACATGAAATTAGTATTGTGTTAAGCAAAACAATCATACTATCATCTTTCTACCTTGACTACTTACTTTTTCAAGTAAAATCTTTAAAAATTATGTATTTGTTCACTGGTGCTCACACCTTCAGCATGGCTGAATAAAAAGGGGCACTTTGAAATATAACTCAGTAAAAAAAAAAGATTAGATTTTAAACATTTTGTAAGGGAAAAGTTCTTTGCCAAAGGTCAAGGTCCTAAAGTCAAGGTCCAAAGATTTATTTGATATTTCCCTGGTCTTTTTATCTTCACGCTGCAGTTTCAAACTTGAATTGGCTCATCAATCTTGTATCTGCTTCACAGCTTCCAACCAGCATTGCTGTACTGTAGTCACCAAGGAGTTGGTGCTAAAATTGAGCGATGATGTTTTTATTTTAATCTAGGGGTTCCGTGATAGTTTGTAAAATCTCACAAAGTGATTTTTTCATCAAGGGGATCTATGATCGTCTATAAAATCTTGCAAAGTGATTCCTCCCCAGACGGCCAATACATTCCATGTTCATTAATAAGACCCCGCAGCCAAGTAATTACATTGCTTTGGTAATGGATGAACGCGTCTCTTGATGTATGGCCACAGGGATAACACCCGGTCTGGTGTCTGGCTCCATGAGCAGGCCCAGCTTCCCATAATGAAAGTACACATCATTTCCTTGTGCTTCTATATTAAATTAATACCGTCTATTTTTTTTTCTTTGTTTGGAGAAAACTTTATTTATGCTTTTGTCCTTCCCCTGATAATAGAGCATATAGCAGCAATATGGTTGGTGGCTGCTGCATTGGTTTTNCTTCTCCAACACAGGCCCCTACACCAGTGAAATCCTCGACACCTTCATCTGTTCCTTCTCCAGAGGCTAAGTCTGAGGAGCAGGTGCCCACAGCCTCCAGCAGGAGTCAAGAGGAAGACAAGAAAAAAAGCAAAACAAAACAGTTCATGGATAGTCACTGGCTACAGAAACCAAAGAGGTTTTTCAAAATATCAAAGTGAGTCAGTTCTCTCTTTTTTCTCTTCCTGCCTTTTTTGTCCGTCAACTTGTTTATTTTATCCATTCTTTTCACCGATCCACCCACCGTCTGTACTTCCCCACTGTTGTATTAGTATTACCCTACATCCTAAATACCCATCTTAACTTTCTTACATACTTATCTTTAATATTTATACGTACCTGTCCTATTTAGCAACTGTCCAACATGTACCACTAATGCATACCTACCTGTCATTTGTACCTACAAGTCCATCATACTTGCAGAGCCTACATGAAGCACCTGTCATACAGTACATACATTTCCTGATTCTTGATTTTATTGTTTTTACTGTTAGTATAACTGTGTGTTTGTGTGTGTGTAAGTGTGTGTTTTTGTGTAGGTAGGTTTGCATGCAAATGTGTTTGTAGTACTAAGTTATACAGCATATTTATTTACTGAAGCGATTTTGTCGAATCATTTTGGCTGCAATAATGATATTTTTCAGAGTTGAATTTTTAGAGAGGGAAAGCTATTGCTGAGGTTAGTCCCAGTCTTCAAGAAATCTATTCTTCTGATGTGTCTGTTAGCTCTGTCACAAGGACATGAAATTAGTATTGTGTTAAGCAAAACAATCATACTATCATCTTTCTACCTTGACTACTTACTTTTTCAAGTAAAATCTTTAAAAATTATGTATTTGTTCACTGGTGCTCACACCTTCAGCATGGCTGAATAAAAAGGGGCACTTTGAAATATAACTCAGTAAAAAAAAAAGATTAGATTTTAAACATTTTGTAAGGGAAAAGTTCTTTGCCAAAGGTCAAGGTCCTAAAGTCAAGGTCCAAAGATTTATTTGATATTTCCCTGGTCTTTTTATCTTCACGCTGCAGTTTCAAACTTGAATTGGCTCATCAATCTTGTATCTGCTTCACAGCTTCCAACCAGCATTGCTGTACTGTAGTCACCAAGGAGTTGGTGCTAAAATTGAGCGATGATGTTTTTATTTTAATCTAGGGGTTCCGTGATAGTTTGTAAAATCTCACAAAGTGATTTTTTCATCAAGGGGATCTATGATCGTCTATAAAATCTTGCAAAGTGATTCCTCCCCAGACGGCCAATACATTCCATGTTCATTAATAAGACCCCGCAGCCAAGTAATTACATTGCTTTGGTAATGGATGAACGCGTCTCTTGATGTATGGCCACAGGGATAACACCCGGTCTGGTGTCTGGCTCCATGAGCAGGCCCAGCTTCCCATAATGAAAGTACACATCATTTCCTTGTGCTTCTATATTAAATTAATACCGTCTATTTTTTTTTCTTTGTTTGGAGAAAACTTTATTTATGCTTTTGTCCTTCCCCTGATAATAGAGCATATAGCAGCAATATGGTTGGTGGCTGCTGCATTGGTTTTTGGTGGGGTTTAACAAGGAACGGGCTGCTGTGCTTGTTACATTACTTATGAAAACATTTTTAACACTAGAAGGGTTCTATAAAAGAAAAAATATTGTCACTCAAGTCGCTAAACTTAACGTATGCCACATTCACAACCAAAGTGGATCTGTGGATTAACAGACCCGTATATCAGATATGGCCGACCTACTTGAAAGCTTGCCAGGGAATCTATTCATTGTCTGTTAGGGGATTATGCAGCAAGTTTTTAAGTGGGACGCCTATATTTGATCCGCCGATCTGTTTGGCCATGGATCAACTTGTTCTGAATTATTATCATATGAGAAATGATAAATGTAACTTTTTAGCAGACAACCTAGTTTGAATAGATCTTTTTTTTTTCCAATTTAAGGATCTCCATTTCCTTTTTCTTTTCCTTTTCCTTTGAAGCATGGATAGTTGGAAACTGAAGAAAAAAATGTACTTTAATACGTGATGCTTATATTAATGCTTTGTGTATTTTCAGATGTTAAAGTGAGGAAAGTATGGGGACCATTTGCTGGGATTACTGACTTAAATGACACTTGTTTCTCGACCCCACTGAAGGCTACTTTCTGCATGACTGCACCACAGTACAGTTATAATTTGAAGGACTTGAATGATCACAAAAACCTCAAACATAAACCAGAAATAACTGAAGTCTTGGAAATTGTTCTATTCATGTCTTTAAACTCTCCCTTGCATGTAATTGTTTTATATCTTCATTAGTTATTTATAAAATGGTTTTATAAGATTTCTATATCAATGTTGTAATATCTATAGAAATGAAAATATGACAAATTAATAATTATTTGAAAGGCATGTGGGAGATTTATAATAATTTTAGGGCAAATTATTTTGCCATCATTCTCTTAAAAAAGAGGGCCCTGGTAATGATTAAACCCCAAGGAGTAATGGAGTCAAGGAAGTCGAGAACTGCTGAGCCATTTACCATTCTTGTGGAAATAAACTTAACACAGAAATTAGAGCTTTCTCCACCTCAATTACGGAAGGGTGCAGAGACTGATTAAATTGTTGATAGGTGTGGAAACAAATACAAATGCAAGCTGATTCCACCAGGAGAGCAGAAGTTGCTGATCAGTTCTTTCCCCAGGGTCTCTCCCCAGGGTCTGGAAGCTCCACAGTGTCCCAATGGAACCAGTTATCACCAGTTACAGCCCATAGTTTCCACTATTCAGGTGAACAATTAACACCAATGATTCCATTGCTTTCCCGGTTCAACAGTTTTTAAGAAATTATGATTCCAGGGAGGACATTCTGATGCATTGCTGGCTGGGGTTTCAGTTAGTGGGAGCAGTGCATTATTGGAATTGGTCAATTAGACGTGTTCAACAGGAGCTAGAATGGTGCCAGAGCTGAAACTGCCTGGAACAGGAATCAATACTAGTCGCAGCTTAAGAAAGATAGGAGGCTTGATGTGGGGAGAAAGTGGTATTAGACTGTACCACTGCTCTGTTGGGTTGTGGTGTGTGCCTTCACTGATCTTGCAATAAACTTGGTTGCAATGAACAAATTGTTCAATTGATTTCTTTAGAGGATAAGGTTTAACAAATCAAAGATGTTGCCAGTGCACATTTATACAAATATAGAAATTGTTTGATATGCAACAATATCTCATTCTTGTTTTATTTCAGTTGAATTTTAAATTTGAATATGTTAAGGGATATGTACAATGTATTGCAATACTTAATTCGAAGCATGACAGTTTTGTGTCATCCAAGTTCAAAGCAACATTGAAATTTATGAAATTAAGCTACATCATAGTTAAGGTGCGTATCAATTTATTCTGTAGATTTGTTTAACATGAAATAGAGTACTCTACCTCTTGATATTTAGTTTTATAATTTATTATTTGTTGCAATGTCTTCATCTTGCCTTTATGTCTTATTTGTTCATCAGTTTACACCATCTAACTTGTACATGTATGAAATACCAGTATGTAATTTGGATGTCTCTCTAATATCATGGATTATTGGTTCGTTCAAGGAGTTTCTCAACAGAGTTGAAACTCCTTGGATCGTTTCAGTGTACAGAGTGAGACAGCCTTGTGCCTTAAAGAAATGGAAATAACATGAGACATCACACTAGACTAGAAAGTGCAAGAATCTGCCTGAGCTTGGGTTAACTTTTCAGGATGAAACCCTATGCGCCAGGAATGTTGTCCTAGAAAGCAATACAAATGTCACATTCAAATCTTGGTTGAGCAACAGACTGTAATTTGGCAGAACTTTTTCAAAAAATGACCAGAAAAACATCCTTTGGTGAATTCTGTCAGCTTTTATTTGTTGTCACACCACAGTCACTACTGGGTAGTCTGCCATTATTTCTGGCCTCCTTGTCCTCCAAATCCTGTGAAATATTTCTTGATTTTACACTAGGCCGTGCCTTACACTTAAGGCTACATGTATCTCGCATGATTCCCATTGGTTATGTTCACTTATAGCCACCCTGAGTAGCAGAGGTTACCAGAAACTTGTCTTTATTATCAACATACTTCTGACATTTCTATTGACTTAATATGGCGGAGGCATGCTGATGGTAGAGATAAGCTTTTAGCAATCTTTGAAACTTGGGGTCCTCTTAGTGTTTTCTCATGGTAAACTTGACATTGTCCTAGACCATTCTTATTATCACTATGAAAACACTGTCACAGTGATGAGCAGGGTAAAACACCATCAAGTATTTTTCTTCTGGTTGTTGGTATTTATTATTTAATTCAGTTATTATATGTACAATATTCATTACTCTGTAAGTTATTTTGTTAACTGGCTTGCTCTGTGCAATCAAGGTTAATTTGCCTTCTTTATGATAATCCCAGTCTGGATTCTTTACACTCTAGTAGATATTTATGAATATTTTACAGACTTATTTGACTTATTAGAATACTCATGTAAATTATTTTAGTCATTTATTTTACCTCTGCCAATATTTACATATTAACAGGGTTGTGGATTGAGAGAGAAAAGGTTGGAAAAAGATAACTTTTATCTGGTTAACGCCTATGTGAGGTGGATATTTGTTGTATTTTAACCTCCTGGACAGCAGTTATTTTGAAGGCTTTTGAGAGTGCATACAAGCTAGAGACAGCAGGCACCACATGTCAGTTATATTGTATTTGAACCCGCCTTTGGTTGGTGTTATATCATAACAAAGATACTCAATAAAATGAGATGAATCTTTGCACTATCTTGTCTGTTTATATGTGTATGAAAATACAGGTTAAACTAGTTGTCAAATTTTCCGATTAGAAATTATACATTTCACAATTTTGGGTATAAGTATCTTTAATTATTTTACAAGAGGATATTTTTCAATTTTATCATTTATTTAGAAAATGTTTATTCATCACTTGAAACGAAAATGAAAATTATATACTCAACAGAGCGTGTCATTGTAAAGTAAGAATTTTTGAACTGGCTTCCTTGGGATTGTATTTCTTTTCTGAATTTAACCAAAAGAAGAGGGAAAAGTCCAACTCGCATATCAAAAAATGAAGTTAATTCGTGTGCCATATGAAAAAAATAAAATGTTAATTTGCCGCATTTTATCAAGGAGCGTATGTAAAAGCGAAGTCAAAATAATTTATTGCCGAAATTTGCGATTAACAAAACTCGCAGCTCTGTTTTCAAATATTATTACACATGGAACCTGAAACCACTTAGTTTTATTTAAAACTAACAGAAAGGAATAAAACTTAAAAGATATAAATACTATTTTTAAAATAAAAATTTCAAATAATTGTCCTATCGTTTTTATCATTAAGAGAGACTTTTGTCTTGTTGAGAATTTTATCATCACTAAAAGTGTGTCACTTAAAATGATTATTATTAATGGATTGATTCGTTACTTTTTTTCTGCTGAATATGAACAAATACAAAACAGTACTTTGCTTTTATTCATAGATGCCGATACTTTACAAATCCACTAAACAACGTACTTTTTTTGTACTTGCCCATTCTAAAACAGTACTTTGATTTTATTCATAGCTGCCAGATACTTTACGAAGCCACTAAAAAGGGAAATTTGTATTCCTATTTATTTCATTTAGATTTATCACAATATAGAAACGTACTAAAAGTACGAACGCAGCAACTGCATTAACGTGAACGGAGATAAATGCAACGTGACAATTACTATCTCAGTCGCGTGACTCCTCTGTTCGTTCCTATGATTCATTAATTCATCAGAAAATAACTTTCTCGGAATAAAATTACCAAATTTGCTCAGACAAGTGCGTAATTTCAAATAACACGAAATAGTTGTATTAACAGTAATGGATCGTATTGTACTATCCACCTTCTTGAGCAGATTGTTGGCAAACTGGAAGATATTTTGAGGCACCATCTTCTGTTGAACGTTGATTAAAAATGTATTCACGAAGTATTTATAACCATATTCTTGTAGTCTTTTGTGTCAGGTTACATTTTTTATAAATACTTGTCAACGCATTCCCTCTTTAAAAAAACTGGCAAATAAATGACAGATAATTTGGTGCAATAATACACGGTATTTATCATCCTTTCAGACATACCAGACTTCTGAATAACCTAGCATTCGAGTTAAAATTATTTGAAATTAAATGACATTCTGTAAATCCTTCATGCGTATGAAATGCAAAATCCCCCTTTTCTATCCTTGGAAATGAAATAAGGCACTCAGTAACCTTGCTGTTTCTTTGAAACCAAAGAAAAGTGCCTTATGATTGATAACGACATAACCAATATCGCACAATCTGGACGTGTCTCTTACAATTATGAATTTATGGACAACAAACGCATTAGTAGGCATGTAGTTCGGTTTTTGATATAAGCTACGCTCCACCGAGGCTGAAGATTTTAGCGTAAAACTTCATTTTGACGAATTCAGCACCAGCTAAATTTCNATTTTGGCCAAAATATAGCACCAGTCATCCAGACTAAAATGCCCATTTTAACTTTCTTACATACTTATCTATAATATTTATACATACCTGTCCTATGTACCAACTACTCAACATGTACCACCTATGCATACCTACCTGTCATTTGTACCTACGTACACGTCCATCATACTTGCAGAGCCTACATGAAGCACCTGTCATACAGTACATACATTTCCTGATTCTTGATTTTATTGTTTTTACTGTTAGTATAACTGTGTGTGTGTGTGTGTGTGTGTGTGTGTGTTTGTGTGTGTGTAAGTGTGTGTTTGTGTTTAGGTAGGTTTGCATGCAAATGTGTTTGTGATACTAAGTTATACAGCATATTTATTTACTGAAGCAATTTTGTCGAATCATTTTGGCTGCAATAATGATATTTTTCAGAGTTGAATTTTTAGAGAGGGAAAGCTATTGCTGAGGTTAGTCCCAGTCTTCAAGAAATCTATTCTTCTGATGTGTCTGTTAGCTCTGCCACAAGGACATGAAATTAGTATTGTGTTAAGCAAAACAATCATACTATCATCTTTCTACCTTGACTACTTACTTTTTCAAGTAAAATCTTTAAAAATTATGTATTTGTTCACTGGTGCTCACACCTTCTGGATGGCTGAATAAAAAGGGGCACTTTGAAATATAACTCAGTAAAAAAAAAGATTAGATTTTGAACATTTTGTAAGGGAAAAGTTCTTTGCCAAAGGTCAAGGTCCCAAAGTCAAGGTCCAAAGATTTATTTGATATTTCCCTTGTCTTTTTATCTTCACGCTGCAGTTTCAAACTTGAATTGGCTCATCAATCTTGTATCTGCTTCACAGCTTCCAACCAGCATTGCTGTACTGTAGTCACCAAGGAGTTGGTGCTAAAATTGAGCGATGATGTTTTTATTTTAATCTTGGGGTTCCGTGATAGTTTGTAAAATCTCACAAAGTGATTTTTTCATCAAGGGGATCTATGATCGTTCATAAAATCCTGCAAAGTGATTCCTCCCCAGACGGCCAATACATTCCATGTTCATTAATAAGACCCCGCAGCCAAGTAATTACATTGCTTTGGTAATGGATGAACGCGTCTCTTGATGTATGGCCACAGGGATAACACCCGGTCTGGTGTCTGGCTCCATGAGCAGGCCCAGCTTCCCATAATGAAAGTACACATCATTTCCTTGTGCTTCTATATTAAATTAATATCGTCTATTTTTTTTTTTTTCTTTGTTTGGAGAAAACTTTATTTATGCTTTTGTCCTTCCCCTGATAATAGAGCATATAGCAGCAATATGGTTGGTGGCTGTTGCATTGGTTTTGGTGGGGTTTAACAAGGAACAGGCTGCTGTGCTTGTTACATTACTTATGAAAACATTTTTAACACTAGAAGGGTTCTATAAAAGAAAAAATATTGTCACTTAAGTCGCTAAACTTAACGTATGCCGCATTCACAACCAAAGTTGATCTGTGGATTAACAGATCCGTATATCAAATATGGCCGACCTACTTGAAAGCTTGCCAGGGAATCTATTCATTGTCTGTTAGGGGATTATGCAGCAAGTTTTCAAGTGGGACGCCTATATTTGATCTGCTGATCTGTTTGGCCATAGATCAACTTGTTCTGAATGGGCGTATAGGAATTATTATCATATGAGAAATGATAAATGTAACTTTTTAGCAGACAACCTAGTTTGAATAGATCTTTTTTTTCCACATTTAAGGATCTCCATTTCCTTTTTCTTTTCCTTTTCCTTTGAAGCAGGGATAGTTGGAAACTGAAGAAAAAAATGTACTTTAATACATGATGCTTATATTAATGCTTTGTATATTTTCAGGTGTTAAAGTGAGGCAAGTATGGGGACCATTTGCTGGGATTACTGACTGAAATGACACTTGTTTCTCGACTCCACTGAGGCTTCTTTCTGCATGACTGCACCACAGTACAGTTATAATTTGAAGGACTTGAATGATCACAAAAACCTCAAACATAAACCAGAAATAACTCAATTCTTGGAAATTGTTCTATTTGTGTTTTTAAACTGTCCCTTGCATGTAGTTGTTTCATATTTTCATTAGTTTATTTATAAAATGGTTTTGTAAGATTTCTATATCAATGATGTAATATCTATAGAAATGAAAATATGACAAATTAATAATTATTTGAAAGGCATGTGGGAGATTTATAATAATTTTGGGGCAAATTATTTTGCCATCATTCTCTTAAAAAAGAGGGCCCTGGTAATGATTAAACCCCAAGGAGTAATGGAGTCAAGGAAGTCGAGAACTGCTGAGCCATTTACCATTCTTGTGGAAATAAACTTAACACAGAAATTAGAGCTTTCTCCACCTCAATTACGGAAGGGTGCAGAGACTGATTAAATTGTTGATAGGTGTGGAAACAAATACAAATGCAAGCTGATTCCACCAGGAGAGCAGAAGTTGCTGATCAGTTCTTTCCCCAGGGTCTCTCCCCAGGGTCTGGAAGCTCCACAGTGTCCCAATGGAACCAGTTATCACCAGTTACAGCCCATAGTTTCCACTATTCAGGTGAACAATTAACACCAATGATTCCATTGCTTTCCCGGTTCAACAGTTTTTAAGAAATTATGATTCCAGGGAGGACATTCTGATGCATAGCTGGCTGCAGTTTCAGTTATTGGGAGCAGTGCATTATTGGAATTGGTCAATTAGACGTGTTCAACAGGAGCTAGAATGGTGCCAGAGCTGAAACTGCCTGGAACAGGAATCAATACTAGTTGCAGCTTAAGAAAGATAGGAGGCTTGATGCAGAGAGAAAGTGGTATTAGACTGTACCACTGCTCTGTTGGGTTGTGGTGTGTGCGTTCACTGATCTTGCAATAAACTTGGTTGCAATGAACAAATTGTTCAATTGATTTCTTTAGAGGATAAGGCTAAACAAATTAAAGATGTTGCCAGTGCACATTTATACAAATATAGAAATTGTTTGATATGCAACAATATCTCATTCTTGTTATATTTCAGTTGAATTTCAAATTTGAATATGTTAAGGGATATGTACAAAATATTGCAATACTTAATTCGAAGCATGACAGCTTTGTTCATCCAAGTTCAAAGCAACATTAAAATTTATTAAATTAAGCTACATCATAGTTAAGGTGCGTATCAGTTTATTCTGTAGATTTGTTTAACATGAAATAGAGTACTCTACCTCTTGATATTTAGTTTTATAATTTATTATTATTTGTTGCAATGTCTTCATCTTGCCTTTCTGTCTTATTTGTTCATCAGTTTACACCATCTAACTTGTACATGTATGAAATACCAGTATGTAATTTTGATGTCTCTGTAATATCATGGATTATTGGTTCGTTCAAGGAGTTTCTCAACAGAGTTGAAACTCCTTGGTTCGTTTCAGTGTACAGAGTGAGGCAGCCTTGTGCCTTAAAGAAATGGAAATCATATGAGACATCACACTAGACTAGAAAGTGCAAGAATCTGCCTGAGCTCGGGTTAACTTTTCAGGACGAAACCCTATGCGCCAGGAATGTCGTCCTAGAAAGCAATACAAATGTCACATTCAAATCTTGGTTGAGCAACAGACTGTAATTTGGCAGAACTCATAAAAAAAATGACCAGAAAAACATCCTTTGGTGAATTCTGCCAGCTTTTATTTGTTGCCACACCACAGTCACTACCGGGTAGTCTGCCATTACACTTTGGGCTACTTGTATCTTGCATGATTCCCTTTGGTTATGTTCACATTTCTATTGACTTAATATGGCCGAGGCATGCTGATGATAGAGATAAGCTTTTAACAATCTTTGAAACTTGGGGGTTCTCTTAGTGTTTTCTCATGGTAAACTTGACATTGTCCTAGACCATTCTTATTATCACTATGAAAACACTGTCACAGTGATGAGCAGGGTAAAACACCATCAAGTATTTTTCTTCTGGTTGTTGGTATTTATAATTTAATTCAGTTATTATATGTACATTATTCATTACTCTGTAAGTTATTTTGTTAACTGGCTTGCTCTGTGCAATCAAGGTTAATTTGCCTTCTTTATGATAATCCCAGTCTGGATTCTTTACACTCTAGTAGATATTTATGAATATTTTACAGACTTATTTGACTTATTAGAATACTCATATAAATTATTTTAGTCATTTATTTTACCTCTGCCAATATTTACATATTTACATGGTTGTGGATTGAGAGAGAAAAGGTTGGAAAAAGATAACTTTTATCTGGTTAACGCCTATGTGAGGTGGATATTTGTTGTATTTTAACCTCCTGGACAGCAGTTATTTTGAAGGCTTTTGAGACTTCATACAAGCTAGAGACAGCAGGCACCACATGTCAGTTATATTGTATTTGAACCCGCCTTTGGTTGGTGTTATATCATAACTAAGATACTCAATAAAATGAGATGAATCTTTGCACTATCTTATCTGTTTATGCTTGTGTATTAAAATACAGGTTAAATAAGTTGTCAAATTTTCTGATCAGAAATTATACATTTCACAATTTTGGGTATAAATATCTATTATTATTTTACAAGAGGATATTTTTCATTTTTATCATTTATTCAGAAAATATTTATTCATTACTTGAAACGAAAATGTAAACTGTATACTCAACAGAGCGTGTCATTGTAAAGAAAGGATTTTTGAACTGCAATGGCTTCCTTGGTTGATTATGCCTTTTAGCAAAATAATAAAAATGGGATTGTATTTCTTTTCTTAGTTTAAACATATGAAGTGGGGAAAAGTCCATCTCGCATATCAAAAAATGAAGTTAATTCGTTTACCATAACTTAATATATGAAAAAATAAAATTTTAATTTGCCACATTTTATCTAGGCGCGTATGTAAAAAGGAAGTCAAATTAATTTATTGCCAAAATTTGCGATTAATAAAACTCGCAGCTCTGTTTTCAAATATTATTACACATGGAACCTGAAACCGCTTAGTTTTACTTAAAACTAGCAAAAAGGAATAAAACTTAAAAGATATAAATGCTATTTTTAAAATAAAAACTTCAAATAATTGCCCTATTGTTTTTATCATTAAGAGGGACCTTTGACTTGTTGAGAACTTTATCATCACTAAAAGTGTGTCAGTTAAAATGATTATTAATCATGGATTGATTCGTTACTTTTTTCTGCTGGAAATGGGCAAATACAAAACAGTACCTTGATTTTATTCAAATCCACTAAACAACGTACTTTTTTTTTGTACTTGCCCATTCTAAAACAGTACTTTGATTTTATTCATAGTAAACAGATACTTTACGAAGCCACTAAAAAAGCGAAATTTGTATTCCTTTTTATTTCATTTAGATTTATTACAATATAGATACGCACTAAAAGTACGAACGCGGCAACTGCATTAACGTGAACGGAGATAAATGCAACGTGACAATTACTATTTCAGTCGCGTGACTCCTCTGTTCGTTCCTATGATTCATTAATTCATCAGAAAATAACTTTCTCGGAATAAAATTACCAAATTTGCTCAGACAAGTGCGTAATTTCAAATAACACGAAATAGTTGTATTAACAGTAATGGATCGTATTGTACTATCCACCTTCTTGAGCAGATTGTTGTCAAACTGGAAGATATTTTGAGACACCATCTTCTGTTGAACGTTGATTAAAAATGTATTCACGAAGTATTTATAACCATATTCTTGTAGTCTTTTGTGTCAGGTTACATTTTTTATAAATACTTGTCAACGCATTCCCTCTTTAAAAAAACTGGCAAATAAATGACAGATAATTTGGAGCAATAATACACGGTATTTATCACCCTTTCAGACATACCAGACTTCTGAATAACCTAGCATTCGAGTTAAAATTATTTGAAATTAAATGACATTCTGTAAATCCTTCATGCGTATGAAATGCAAAATCCCCCTTTTCTATCCTTGGAAATGAAATAAGGCACTCAGTAACCTTGCTGTTTCTTTGAAACCAAAGAAAAGTGCCTTATGATTGATAACGACATAACCAATATCGCACAATCTGGACGTGTCTCTTACAATTATGAATTTACGGACAACAAACGCATTAGTAGTCATGTAGTTCGGTTTTTGATATAAGCTACGCTCCACCGAGGCTGAAGATTTTAGCGTAAAACTTCATTTTGACGAATTCAGCACCAGCTAAAATTCAAATACAGAGAGGGAGAAAGAGAACTTGTACATTTTAAAGATTTTTTGTGATATAGCCGTTCATTATTTCCATTATCCATAATTCACAGAAATACTCATTAAGCTTCATTAAGATTTTTTAATGCTATCCTCTTAATCATAAAGCAGAATATCCTCGAGACATCGATTAGGTGAATTTTTACACTCATCATGAACATGCGACATTCTCGTTTTATTATTTCATAACATCATAAATATATGAAATAATTAAAATAAAATAAGACAATTAATCGCCTATCGTAATTCATACCCCATCTTAGACTAGTGGTTAGATTTATAATAGACACTTTAGCTGAAAGAACTTTGATATTAAAAAATGCTTCTTTTCACAGGACTGGTCGCCTTTTCGAAAAAATATCCTTTCCTTTTTAACATTTGGTAACAGATCTATAAAATGAATATGCTTTAACATTGTGTTCACGGGTTGCGATCCGACAAACCTTCTTTCATAAATAAAAATATTTTGATTTCGCCAATGAAGGTACTTTTTTTACAATTGGACAGAACGGAGCTCGATTGAATTTGAAAGAATTGCGAGCTATGAAGGCCGCGCACATACCCGTGTAGCTGCAGATCCTAACTTCCCTCTTCAACAACAAGATCATATGAAAACTATTTTTAAAAAAGCAATGCTGAATCGATTACGAAAAAATCTTTAAATTCTATTAAAATTTTAGTTCGTGGTTAGGAATAACGTGCTCCTTTTAACCCTTTTAACCAGCGTCCGATCTGCCCGTTAAGATCAATCCACCGTAAAATGAAGTTAACAGTTGAGCGGTAAACTTGTTACCGTGCCGGCGTGCCTTCATCCTTTGGCGGCTCAGGCGGCCATATCGACCGACAAAAGGGGTTCACAACACCTGGGCGGGCTATCAGGCTTTCAATTAAGTTTCGTGTATTGTGAACCTTTAAACGGTGGTATATATTTCACGCCTAACCAGGAATTCTGACAGACGGCAAATCGAAGCCAATGGCTCAGAACATTTTGCACGCTCATCCCATGGCGAATAAGCTCCATTGACTGGAAGATTGGCGTTAGGTCGCGTCAATCACCGTCCTTATGCATGTAACACCAAGATGACGACCGTCCTCTGCCTGTAATTAGTCAAAGCAATTGTTTAAACTAAAAATAAAGTAATTTTTCTTCAATCAACAGCTACATATTGAAATACTTTACCTCCAATGTTTCGATGTCTAACAGAGCATCTTCACCTGGATACCCTCATTCCCTGATGAAGATGGTCTGGTAAACATCGAAATATTGTAGGTAAACTATTTCAATATTGAGCTGTTGCTTGAAAAAATACTTTATTCTTATAACATATGATGAAATTTTTCTCCAATTGTTTAAACCGCACTGAATGGTGTTCAAGCAAATTACCTGTAGGCAAGGTTTTGTTTGATAGAAGGGGACGACTAGATATGCAAGCGCGTGTAAAAGATACCCAATCTAATAGATATGCAAATACGTGCAAAATGAAGGGCAGCATATATGAATTCGATTACAAGCAGCAATGTTACTCTGCTTATTTATTTTTAGCACAACCCCTTTCCCATGAAATGAAGTTAAATATTTCATGTTTTCTTCAGCACTAATTAATACGTCTCTAGTGGAACACATATTGACCATTCGTTTATTTACTTTATATTTTTATTATTAAAAGCTTACTTTCATTTTAATTCTTATTTCGTCTTATTTTTTATCTTGGATCGCCCACTTAAAACATGTCTACAGGTAGCATGTCGTTTTCACATATGCCGCGAAAAACGATAAATTCCAGCTCGATGTCCACAATCGATCTGCATTCTATTATTGCCCGGTTGCTTTTTTCAATAATTGTATTAGCAAGGCATCAGGGACAAATCCAGGATTTTTATCAAATTATATGTAATGGACTTCTTTTGCCTATTTATTATGCTCTTTTTTTTATTCACCCATTAGCCATTCTTCAGGGGTCGGACAGAAGCGTACTTCGTTTCCTCAATGATATGAGACGATTTGTACTGTTGAAAGGATACTTTTATTCAAAGTTATGACGTGCTAATATCTTCATCAATTCAACTTTTTTATTTTGGGTATTACATGTATAGCACCGGCCTGGTTAAAGAATCTCAAAACTACATGTATACTTCGTCAAATAATAGTTTCATTAAAATTAATTTCAGCCTTGATATTCCATGGGTTAACATGATAAAATATGTATTTTTTTATGCGTGAAGGGGTTCTGTCATTTTAAAATCATAACCGAATGCATTTGTGTAAAAGTATGTGTGATAAAGCAGTTTTGTTAAAGGACTTGAATAAGTCATGTTGGCAACACATTGCAACGAAATTCGGGATTAGGCCAACGCAAAAAGGCTCATTCAGGGAGATCAAAATTCAAAATGTAATCTAGAAAAACGCCTAGGCCTACGCATGGGGGCGTCTCGATAGTCCGAAGTTTCATTGGTCCGAAAAACGGTAACATTTTCATCGTTTGTTAATCAAGGGTTCATTGGTCCGAACAAGAAGTTATCTCTTTATAACTTCTTGGTCCGAAGGTTCTGTAGTGAACATTCGGACCAATGAACCTTCGGACTGTTGAACCTTCGGACTATTGCTACGGCCCCCCTACGCATAGGCCTAAGGGCCTACAGTTTTCAATGTTTATTTATCTTTTATCTTATCTATATTTTTGTTACAGAATGAGAAGGCAAAGATGACAATGGACCTTTAGGAAACACTTGGACATAATAAGGTTATTATGTCCAAGGGGAACCACAAAACCTGTCCAAAATTTACTCCTGCACCTTTTATGGCATAATGTGAAGCTAACGGTCGGTGCGGCACTACAAGCTACATCATGGCGGCATTTTCTGTCTTTAAATACCAATCTTATGTTTTTAAATATTAACTTTAAATCTAGACATGACAGTGAATAAATCAAAACATATCTAGCCCCAATGTGTGCGCACAGTGGTAAATATAGAACTGTTAAAACTGTAAACGAGAAGTAGGCCTACACATGTAGTCCCAAAATTAAGGGGTTTGGAGGTAGCTAAAAAATGATCTAGTATTCTAGGGTCTTCAGTCCTTTTGCAGTGTAAATGAAAATTAATGCCAAGTAAATTTTATCTAACAAAACAGTTTGGGATGAAGGCGCAGGAGACCGATTCGATGAAAAGGATCTCTTCGGTGTAACACAGTTAAACCCGACTTTGATCCGCCAGCGTCTCCCGTTACTTCAAGCGGACCAGGAGATGCTGGTCCGCCAGCGTCTCCCGTAACTTCAAGCGGACCAGCATCTCGCTCTTCTAGTAGGCCTAGTAGACCGCTGTCCAGACGTTGCCGCACTGCAAATGAAGTTGATCACCATCTCCTTCCCACCCATCGCACTGATGTAGTTACGTGTCATGAGTCGACGTATAATTTTTCTAACCTTTTTGTTATTAAATTACCATACAAATACTGCCTATCAATAACTTAGATAGAAAATCCATAATTGGAAAGGGAGAACGCACCAAGCGCGTATTGACATGTGGCAACACTAATAAACTGATCACTAAAATCTCGGGGGTAGATCAAAGTAGATTAGGATGAAAGTGTTTTCACAATGCCATTGTTCCATATCGATTTTCCTTGTTCTGCTACCGAAAGGTTTTGTTGAACAGTACTAATACGGCTTTTGTTCACATCCAATGACCTTTCATTTTGGCTCACTTTTAGCCGCAAGGTGGCGCTGCGTACAGGAAGCGCTAATGACATCCGGGCCATAACAATGTGCTCATTTACTTGTGGATTCGAATGCTTAGCAGGTGTCCAAAATAGCTTTCATCAGTGTCAACAGTAGCGTGGCCAGGCTTTAGCCCACTAGAACTCAATGATACCGAACACAGTGTTCCTGCCATTCATGTGAATCGACGTTTTGTTTTTTGAGTCCAGGATAAAGTCGAAGGAGGGGCAAGGAGTGGGAGTTAATCAGGAACTCGTCGTTCAGGGAGAGTGACTCGGTGACAGCTGATAACAGTGAATCTAATAACAATGAAAATGGCGGAGTCTGATTGTCAACCAGCTGAGAATGGCGTCCATTCTCCCGGGACTCAGCTGAAATTTGGTGTTAAATGTCCTCGCCTGGATATGAGCACGGTGAACTGTAAAACTGTCCTAGACGGACTGGACCCCGGAGTTGTTATCGTGCCCAAACTCAATGGACTGGACACAGAACATAACAACAATAAAACTACCACCGATCAGCAACAAACGAAACAGGTAAGCTCCTTTTTTTCTTGTGACACATTTTTTCTGTTGTTGGTATACTTCACAACAATAATGTACGTGCTATTATAGTGCACACACGTGGGATAAGGAAACGGGAAATGATTACCACGCACTATCGTTTAATATTACCGGAACGAAAGTGCAAAGCACACAGCGTTACCAAAAGTTGATTGTTTTTCCTGGGGCAGAGCAATATTGGAAATACAATATTTATGATCACTCAGGTGGTGTCATGATTTATCATTTCGTGTTGGGCTTTGTTGCATTGTATTTCAGGTGTTCTTCACTGAGTCAGACGTCTGCTTGTAAATTAGCATATGTCATCATGTTCTTTGTCAATTTCATTAGTGTGAAATGGATTAACAGAAATAATTCTAGGTACGACCTTTAACAAAATTGAACAAATGTATGGAGAGTCTTGCTCTTGAATGTTGCTTGGTGCGTAATTGAAGTTTTATAATGAGATTAACAGCTGTGAACTAAACAATGTATGATAATGGCTTTACAGGTAGTTATAACTATATGGGAGGTTGCTCTTTTTTCTCTCTCTTCTTTGTTTTTACAAAAATGAAAAAGTCATACATTTCATGATCATTTTTTATTTCTTTTTGTAGAGTCATTTATTTCAACAGATAACTGCAGAATTACAACTGAGTATCCTGTTTTTTAAACTTAATATTTCTTTGTCACCCAAGTCAATCTGGGCAGACGAGTGATGTCATGCTCTAGCAGAAATTAATTTAAGAATTGCCTGACGGCTTGTTTCAGAAGTCTTCTTGAAGGCATGTTCCTAACTGATGAAATTAAAGATATGAGTTGAAGTGATCTCAGTAAAGATACCCTTCAGTGTTGACGTATGTCAGGAGCGCAATATGGTATTTTGATGTTAAAAGAAGAGAAGTAACATACAGACATAACAGTTCACCTCCAGTCTGAAGTGGTATTTGACTCATTTCCCCAATAATGTAAGCTTTGTATGATATTGTTTGTTCCAATTCATTATACAAATGATCCTGTTAGCCGACCACACATGTTTCTCATCATCTATTTTAATCCAGTTAATATGCGCACTAGGCATGTTTGCTGAGAATGTAGGAGACCTCAGGACAAGTAAATATTACAGTGGAGCTTAATGTAACATACACCTGGCAAGCTGTTTGACGGAATGACATTTTGTGGCAGGTATAAATACTGTATCGTTGTCCATATGGAGGTGGAGTTATAAATAAAATACCATTGCCTTATCAAAAGTGTATCACCTTGAACCGCTGTGTACACACTGTACGTTTGCCCACTATCACATAATTGCTGATTTAGGGCCTTTCGAGAGATTTGTCAGTTGTAAAACCCGGACTGGATATCCTTTTTATCACAGTGCAAATAATCAGGTCTATAATATTGATCCAAACATAGCAATCAATGTCTGGTTTGAGCTTTCTGCACCATTTAATGCATATCCTATAGAGTTGTGGTGGTTTTCTATCAATTTTGCTGATCTGTGTTCTTGGAGGAGGAGGATAAATGGAGAATTAAACTGTTCTAAATCATACATACTATTTTTCTTTCTTTATTATTGCATTTATTTTTAAACGGATGTTGAATATCTTGCAATGCAACATTTGTCTATGGCCGTAAGAATTATAAGCAACAAATCCTATTGATCTTGGGTATTAAACATTGCAATACTTCCACTCCATTGTCAACATTTGGGACTGATTGTATACATAGCAAATACTATGTTGACAATGTTGGCCAAGATGCCATAATGCCACTCATTGTGAATAAACCAACAATCTCATAGCACCAGCCTTTCTATAGCCGGCCCCAGTCATAAGGTTTGATTAGCCAGATTCCATTAACATAAACTCTTTAAATTTGCATTCATAATATTTGATATAATTCCTTTTAAGAAAACACTTGGAAATAGAACTGCTACATGCTTTTTCTGCTTGAGTGTTACAAAGGCATGTCATGTTTTTCAAGTGTCGCCGTTCGTCCATTGTCCCCTGGCCAAGTCTTTGTTTGGCAGTATTGTGACCGAGGGGGAGAGACGGCTTTTATTCACAACATACCCCCATTGTGTATAGTAACCCCGCTTCCCAAGGCACACAAACTAGAGGTCTTTAAGCAAACCTGTAGGTGTAAACAGAGAAGGAAATGTATGCAAACACTATTGTAGTTGATCAGTGTCTGGAGGTATTTGAAGTTACTTTTCAGACAATAAATAACGGCCTAATCTGGACTGTTGATACATTTCACATAGATAAAAACTTGCTGCATCCACAGATTCAGAAGTGTCTACTGTAGATTTTTATTCTCTTATTGAGTTACAAGTAGTATCAAATTACTAATAAAACAACCTTTTAACTCTTCAATACCCAGATATAAAGAAGAAAAAGCTTAGATAAATTTAAATGTTTTTTCTTATGAATTTATTATGAGGACCTCAACATAAGCAGAAATTACAATAACAGCTGGGAGATTATTCTCTTTGGAAATTCATCAGTAATCCAAATTGAAAATAGAACTGTGAGTCACTTGACCTATAAAATAAGAAAACTAATAATGGTGTTCACATTTATGTATGCTGATATGTATTTTACGAGGGTGTGATCAAGCATATAAATTGCTAAAGTAATTACTGGAAGGAAAGCAAAGCACAGAGTAATGTCAGTAAAATTTGTTATGTTTGTTACATCAGTTGGCCGTGATGAACATGAACAGAATAAAACAAATGTTGGGTATAGTTATAAAAAATAACAAAAGGTTTGTTTTTTTTAATATGATGAAAAAAAAGTAATCACATTTATACTTTTGGTTGAGGAGGGCTTCCAGTATCAGATATATTGTAGTGTGTGTTGTTGTGAGATAAGCACATCACATTTGTGGTGTTTTGGATGGCATCACTCTTAAGGAATGCCTCCCCCCTCCCCAGTATGGTTTTCCTTTAAGGGGAAACCATTATATTGACATTGAACCTGGCACTTCTCCTGCTGTGTTTTATGACATGAGCTTTCGGGGTACACCCTGAGTTTCAGAGGTCGTTGGAAACTCCCCTCTATTATCACTGTGCCATTGTTGTTTCTAGCAATGAAACTCAGGGTGTCAGGATATTGGATAAGTGGAAAGGAAAGGGGCCTGGTAGCTTCCAGCTCAGACTTCCTGTAGAAGTGGGAATCATGTTCTTCTATTGGGATTAATCTTGAATTATTGAGCTGGAAGTGGAAGGATGTTCATATTTTATACCAGATGAGATTGTGATTCAGAAGTGAAAAAGAATGGGAAGAGAGGAAGAACATCTGTTTGAAAAGATTACATTGCTATTTTTATCAATGGTTTGTCACCCAGAATAGAATTGAATTTATTCAATTGCCTGATAATAAATAGTTATGTAATGAACAGCCATTTGTAGGTTTGTTTATGTATTTGTTTGACATTCCTTATGTTTCTTAGATAGCATGACTATGTGGGTGCATCAAGCTCTTGGGGGGGGGGGGGGGGGGGGGGGCTAACCATCATTGGATGACGGACCTTCAAAGGCAGGTCTCATAAAGGACATTCATTTGAAAGTTGGTTTTATCTTTGAGACAGAAAATTTCAAATTCAACCCAGGTAAATTTAGTTTAGTCCACTGAGGTAAAGTAACTATCACTCAGAAACTTTAGCCATTTCTCACTTTTTGTGAAATAGAACTAGGGAGTAATAATGATTTTAATAAGGGCAAAAAAGACTAGGATTTTCACTGTTAAATTTTAGGCCGACTTAAGACTCCAATTCCTTTGTGAAATTGGCTCTTGCTTCATAATTCCTTCTAATGAAGACAGTGTTGAGCCAGTGGCTCTTTTATAATGGCTCCCTAGTTGATTGCAGCTGACTTTGGGATATGGATGTCAATAGTAATATGACAAGTTGATAAATTTGTTTCTGTGATTAAAGGAAGGTGACGTGAAGATCTGAAATTAAATCTAATTACGTGAAGTTTTTTTGACGGATCTGAGCGAAATAACAAAGAAGCTGTGTCTCATGAATGAATGATGGCTGGGAAATCTTGGTTTAGGTTTTATAAAGATAAGTGACATAGAAGCTCAGTCTCTCTTTCCATTTTTGATTTTTTTCATAAAACATTTGATATTGGAACAGATGATTTGGTTATTTTTAACTTTTAATTAGGATCAGTTTTTATTAACAAAGACCAGAAGCCAGCATGAACTGATGGCTTTAAGGTTCTAGTTACTTTGGGGACAATTTATTAATCCACTTGACTAATAGTCCACATGAAAAAAAAATAAAAATAAATAAATAAATAAATAAATAAATAAATAAAATAGAATTAGATAATGCATGTGCCATCTTTGATATGTACAGATATTTATGGTCGACTGAAAATGCCCTAATGAAAAGAACTTAAACTTGTTCAATTTGATGTTTAATAAATATGATGAGGGTTAATTTTTGACTATGACTGAAATCACTTAGTTCAACGAGCAACAATATATAGTTTGCATATATTCATTTACATCTAAATAAGTAAATTTAAACTGACATAAATACACTGTCATATAATTATCAGTTTATAAAGATGACAATTTAGTTTCAAATGTTCAGTTTTATCAAATTCATTTGAAAGACATTATTTTGAATACCTTCTTTGTATGTTGTGATGTTATATAAAAAACTATTGAGTTACAGAGTTTATTCATAAGGTGGAAAATTTTTTAAACTGTTGCTTGTTTTTCATGCCCAATGGAAATTGAAATGAAAATTTGTTCTTGGTTTTGTCATGGGGCACCTGCAGAGAAACTAACCATGGTCCTCAACAGATTTGAGACAAAGACTGATAGCACTGAAGTACGCATAATTCTATGGTGACGCAATGCAAATAACTCTGCAAAGGATTTTTTTTTGAAAATATAAGCTAAGCATTACTTTGTCAATCAAAATACCAAGTATTACAATATTGTTATGTTGTTCATATAAATACCATGGTAGAA